ACATATCGTGCTGACAATCCCTGATCACTCTCTGCCTTTCCAATTATTGATTAATGCTGTCCTTCAGAATGTTTCTAATAATTTCCCTATCACTGATGTCAGACTAACTGGTCTGTAATTACCTGGGTTATCCTGTTGCCCTTCTTGAACAAAGGAACCATATTAGCTAATGTCCAGTTATCTGCCACTTCACCTGTGGCCAGCGAAGTAGTAAGTATACCCGCCAGGACCCCAGCAATCTCTTGCCTTGCCTACCATAGCATCTTGGGATATACTTCATCAGTCCCTGGGGATTAATGCACCTTTATGCTTGCTAAAACATTTAATATCTCCTTCTTATTAATCTTAACGTGTTCTAGAACCTCACCATCCCAACTGAAATTCCTGGCTCCAATGTTTCTCCTCTATACTAAAACAAATGAGAATCATTCATTTAAAACCTCACTCACATTGAATGGTTCCAAGCACAGATTGCCCCTTTGGACTGAAACAGGTTCTACTCTTTCCCTAGTTATCCTGTAACTCTTAACATACTTATACGAAGCCTTGGGTATTCTTTGATCCCATCTCTCAAAGCCATTTCATGGCCCCTTTTTGCCCCCTCCTAAATTCCTTTTTAAGCAACCCCCTATGCTCTCTATACTCAAAATTGTGTTATTGAAAGTGCCACTGAACAACTATTTTGCAACATGTAGTTCAACACCTCCCAATCACTCAACCCACTCTTTCCCCCTTTTGAAATGTGGCAAACAAGGAAACCAATTTTTCACAAATAGCTGAATGACAAGTTAGTCTATTTTTTAATAGTTGAGATAAACTAGTCCTGAACATCATCTTAGTGTTGTCTATTATGTTAACAGCAGGTGTTAATAACAAGTACTACTATATTAGAAGAGGTGAAGTGCTGGGCCACAACCAAATGAAGACAACAATAATAGTGTGCTTCTAACACTGACGCTACAACAGAACATTGCCAAACAAAATTTGAGACCAATTCACTTGAGCTTTAAGTGGGTGATATTGTGGATGTGCGACTGCACAATCATAGTAAGAGTTGTTTTGTAGTACAGGACTTGAGTATTGATGAAGAAAAGAGACACGTCATTAAAACTTTTCATCTTGCACTCATCAGGACAGAACCACAAGAATACCAATCACAAAGGGAACAACAATTAACACTGCACGAGGAAAGGGTAGTGATTGGTTGGCAAGTGAATACTATTTGGATGAGGCATTGCCAAGGGGAATGCACCAGGGAGCAGTTAACTGCCAATCTTTGACTTATCTGGTTTGAATTTAAATAAATGTCAATTATCAAGGCATTGCCATGGGAAATGCAGCAGGGAATGGCTGCTTCCCGCCACACAAAAAAAGATTTCACTCAGTTGAAGGAGGCATGATGTATAGATGTGTTATTTCTGTTTCCAAAGAACAGAGCTTTGCCTATGAATATACGTAACTTCTTGAACATGTCATTGAATCATACTGCAAAACCACCTGATATTTGTAAATTGATGGCTAATAATGACCTAGATAATCAACATTATTTAGTGAGTGATGTCCAGTTGCAGAATCACTTCTAATGTTTAACGTTATATTCTGAGTCTTGCATGCACATGCTAGGTGCATGCAGTCAGTACTCTGTTGTGAATAGCCAAAAGAATGCGCTGTTTGATACGATCTACCAGTTCTAGGTTGTATAATGCAACATGCTTGGCATCACACAGGCTGAATACATGAAGTACAAAAGCCATGAAATTATGCTGAACTTAGCTAACAGAAAAGTTAAATCAATCAGTTAGAATTTTTTGTGCCCAGTTCTGAGTGCCACAATTTAGAAGAATGTGAAGGCTTTAGAAAGGCTATTGAATAACTTTGAGAAAGGTAAGCACAAAGAACTGCAGTTGCTGGAAATCTGAAACAAAAACAAAAACAGAGTGCTGGAGAAACAAAGTATGTCTCTCTACAAATGCTACCAGACCTGTTTTCTGTTTTTGTTTTATGAGAGGTTCTAGGGTTGAGGCAATACAGTTAATTAAAGAAATTAAAGCAGTTCTAGGAACAGAGAAGGCTAAAAACAAGTTTGACTGAGATTAGAATTGTGAACTGTTTAGCCAGGGAAAATAAACAGTTCCAGTGGCTGAAGAGGTAATAACAAGAGGTCATGGATTTAAAATGATTGGCAAAAAGTGATGTAACATGAGGAAATCTTTCTACTTTAAAGAATAAAAGAAAAAATATTTAAAAAGATATTAAAAGAGATGAGGAATAGTGTCTAACTAGATTGTTTGTTTGCTGAAAGAACCTGAGCTGTCTGGATGAGATGAATAGTTTCCTTCTGTGCTGTGCTATTCTATGATTTAAAAGAAGGACAAATCAGAATCTGTGTGGTTACAGTTGAGGAACCGCGAAGGGAAAAAAAGACCCTGATGGGAGTTATGTGCAGGTCCTTTAGCAATAGTCAAGATGTGGGGCAGAAAATAACTCAGAAGAAAGAACAGGCACTATTGCAATAATCAAAGGGGAGGACTTCAATATGCAGGTGGACTGGGAAAATCAGGTTGATAGCAAATTCCAAGAAAGGGAATTCATGGAATGCTTGTGAGACTTTTTTTTTGGTTCAGCTTTTAGGGAGCCCACTATGGAATAGACAATTCTGGATTTGATGATGTGTAATGAGGCAGACTTGATTATGGAGTTTAAAGTGAAGGAACCACTAGAAAGCAGTGACGGTGGTATGATAGAGTTCATCCCGCAGTTTAAAAGAGGGAAGCTGAAATCTGATCTAACGGCATTACAATTGAGTAAAAGTAATTACAAAGGCCTGAGGGATGAGCTGGCCAGAGTTGGTTGGAAGGGGAGCCTAATGTGGAAGACAGTGGAGCAGCAATGGCAGAGATTTCTGGGGGTAATTCAGGAGGTACAGCAGAAATCCTTTCCAAGGAAGAAGAAACATACTAAATGGAAGATGTAGCAACTATGGTTGATAAGGGAAGTCAGGGAGAGTATAAGAGCAAAAGAAAAGGCATGAAATTAGTGGGAAGTCAGAGGATTGGGAAGCCTATAAAAAACAGCAAAAGACAGCCAAAAAAACAATAATGTCGGAGACGATGAAATGTAATGGTAAGCTAGCTAGTAATATAAAAGAAGATTGCAGAAGGTGTTTTTAGATATATAAAAGATAAGAGACACAAGAGTGGATATTGGATTCCTGGAAAATGAGAATGAAGAGGTAGTAATGGAGGAACAAAGGAGCAGCAGAGGAACTGAACAGGTACTTTGTATCAGTCTTCATGACGGAAGACACCAGTAGCATACCAGAATCTCAAGAGAGTCAGGGGACAGCGACAAGTGTAGTAGCCACTGCCTGTAGTAACCATCACTAAGGAGAAGGTGCTGGGAAAGCTGAAAGGTCTGACGGTGGATAAATCTACCAGACTGGATGGACTACAGCCCAGGGTTCTGAAGAACATAGCTGAGGAGATTGTGGAGGCATTGGTGGTGATCTTTCAGGAATCACCCTCTAAAGGATGCCAGAGTACTGGAAAATGGCTAATGTAAAATCCCTCCTTAAGAAGTGAGAGAAGCAGAAGATGAGAAATTAGCCTAACCCCAGTCGTCGATAAGATTTTAAGAGCCCATAACTGAGGATGAATTGCAGTTGGAAGTGCATAGCAAAATAGGGCTGAGTCAACATGGCTTTGTCAAGGGGAGGACATGTATTACAAATCTGTTAGAATTCTTTGAGGAGGTAATGAGCAAGTTAGACAAAAGAGAGCCAGTGGGCATCATCTGTTTGGATTTCCAGAAGGCTTTTGACAGGGTGATGCACAGGAAGCTGCTAAATAAGATAAGAGCCAATGGTGTTAGGGGCAAAGTGCAGGCATGCAGAGAAGATTTGCTGACTGGCAGAAGACAGAGATGTAGATAACGACAGCCGGCAGCTAGTGGAGTTCTGCAGGGGTCAGCTTTGGAACCACAACTGCTCACGTTGCATATTAACAAACTGGATAGAGGAACAGAGGGCATTGTTGCTCAGTTTACAGGTCGCACAAAGAATGGTGGTGGGGGGACAGGTAGTGTGAAAGCAGGGAGGCTGCAAAGGACTTAGAAAGACTAAGAGAGTGGGCAAATAAGTAGCAGATGTAATACTATGTGGGAAAGTGTGAGGTTGTGCACTTTAGTAGGAAGAAGTGAGGCATAGACTATTTTCTAAATGGGGAAACATTTCAGAAAGCTGAAGCACAAAAAGACTTTGGAGTCCTAGTTCAGATTCTCTTAAGGTTAACAAGCAGGTTCATTTGGCAGAACGGAAGACAAATGCAAAGTCAGCATTCATTTTGAGAACGCAAGAGCAGGGCTGTACTGCTGCGGCTGTATAAGGTTCTGGTCAGACAGCATTTGGAATATTGTGAGCAATTTTGGGCTTCGTCTCTAATGAAGGATGTGCTGGCATTGGGGGAGGGTGGGGTGTCCGGAGGATGTTCACAAGAATGATCCAGAAATGAAGGGCTTGTCATAGGAGGAACATTGAGAACTCTAGGTCTATGCTTGATGGAGTTTAGAAGGATGAAGGGGTAATCTTGTTGAAACTTACGGAATACTGAGAGACCTGGATAGATTGGATATGGACAAGATGTCCAATTTATTGAGTATCTTTAAGACAGTGATAGATAGGTTCTTGATTGGTAAAGGATCAAGGAGTACTCGGAGAAAGAACGAGAATGGGATTGAGATGCATCAGTCATAATCAAATGGGCCTCAATGGACTGAATGACCTAGTACTGATCCTACATTTTATGGTAATATGGTGGCAAACTTGCTTTAAAATATAGGTGTTAGTGAAGATTGATTGAGCAGTACATTGGAAACACAAGAAATGAATGGTGCAGCTGCAACGAACAATTAAATCTAATAATTAGCCAGTTTCTTCAACATACATGTTTTTAACTTGTTTCCTTTGCGTGGTTTAAATTTTTGTCTTGTATGATTTTTAACAGGTGAAATTGACTGTTGAAACCTTGCACCCTGACCCCGTAGGAACTGGTCTGTCTTTCACACCTCTTAATAAACCGATTCCCACTAATAACAATCTAGTGAAACTCTTGTGGGGTGAAGACACCACTGATTTCCAAATGGAAATTGACAACATTCCTCATGTTGCTATGTATCTAACTTTAAAGCTGGAATCAGAAAATTCAAAGGAAAAGGTATGTGTATAATCGTTATTTTGGTTAGATTTTTAAAAAATCTGGGGAACTGATTTTATTCAGTTGTTTCACTGTTTATAGGAAGTACACATTGGCTTAGTAAGGATATGTCTACCACAAATAGGCGTCAACTAAATATGAATGCATGATTGTATTGCAAGCATTGATATATTAATGGCCGCATTTGATCAATTCAAGTGTAGAAACAATGCTCAGTCATGTTTCTTTGCTATTTGAGTGACAGAGTAAAGTGTTTCTATGCATTTGTGAAATTGTATTCCACTGCTGGGTGAGTTTTTATTTGCTGGTTGCTGAAAACTAGTGGGAACACCTAACAGTATAGGAGCTTGATAACTCAGAATTTTCAATCAGAGATGAGGGCTGGGGTGTTCACCACTAACCTCACAGTAAGTGTTGCTGACAAATCTAGCGATCTCTTTGATTACAAAAAAATCACCTCCATCACTGCAAGTAATTAGTTTTGTTTCTAATTGGCCATTCCTAGTGTGGAGCTGGCAGTCCAAGCATTAAATTGCAAGTCCAATCACGTTAAAGGATTTTTATAGCCTCTCAGACAAAAAGTAAAAAGAGTAAAATAAAAGCACTAATTGGTTTACAAATCACAAATCAAAGGTAGTGTCGAACATGTGTTAAGGTAAAAGCTAAAATATTCTAGAAAAATAATTTTTAAAATGATTTGTCTATTTAAAACCTTCTAATTAATTGTTTGGTGACACTTATTAGTTGTAAGCTGAATTTTTTGAAGGCAACTTTTGTCCTTCACCAATATTTATGAATCGATTGTGATTGAAATGGCATTTCTAACAACAATGTTGTTGTAGGAAGGTTGAAATGGTCCCTTATTTCGGGGGTTTCTAACAATGTGGATGGTGCTGGAGTGGTAATCACACTGCAAGTAATGTTGGAGACCTAAGTGACCGACTGCAACTCCAGGATTCTTGTGTAATGTGCATGTGCTAACACCTTGGCATTGTCATTTTTTATAGAGGCAAATAATGGCCAAAGCTGACTGTATTTGTTTACAATCTACACCCTCCAAACAGAAGGCAGCCTTTGCACTGCTGATAGTAATATGACTTTTTCGTAACATCGGACACTTTTGCGGTACATCTCTGTCTTGGTTCATTTTATATTTGACGATTTAAAAAAGGCGGTACAGAGAAAACAGAGAATTATAGATCCATTAGCCTCACATCAGTAAAGGGAAAAATACTACAGTCCGTGACATATGATTTAATAGCAGAGCACTTGGAAAACCATGACAGAATCGGGCAGAGTCAGTATGGGATTTATGAAAGGGAAATCATGCTTGACAAATGTGCTGGAATATTTTGAGGATTAGAGATAATAGATATTAGGGTTGATTGGGGGAGCCCGTGAATATGGTTTATTTAGACTTTCAGGAAGTTTTTGGTAAGTCCCACATAAGGGATTAGCATGTAAAATTAAAGCACATGCAATTAGGAATAGTGTACTGAATAATCAGAGAACTAGCTAGCAAACAGAAAACAGAGTAGGAATGAACAGGTTCAAGTGGTGGGCGGTGATGAGTGGGGTATCACAGCTTGGGCCCCAGCTATTCACAATATATATTAATGATTTATATGAGAGAACCAAATGTTTGCAGATAACAAAGTTGGATGGGAGGGTGAGCTGTGCGGAGGTTGAAGAGATGTTTCAATGTGACTTGGACAACTTGAGTGAGTGGGGTAAATGCATGGCAGATGAAATATAATGTGGATAAATGTGAGGTTATCCACTTTGGTAGCAAAAACAGGAAGACCCATTATTATCTGAATGGCAATTGATCGTGAATGGGGGTGGTGTAATGAGAGTTGGGTGTCTTTGTACACCAGTTACTGAAAGTAAGCATGCAGTGAAGAAGGCTAGCGGTATGTTGGCCTTCATAACAAGAGGGTTTGAGTACAGGAGCAGAGATGATGTGCTGCAATTATAGAGGGATATATGAGACCATACCTAGAGTATTGTGTGCAATTCTGGTTCTGTTTTTGAGGAAAATGTTCTAACTATGGAGGAGAACAACAAAGATTTACGAGGCTGATTCCTGGAATAACAGGACTGATGTATGAGGAGAGACTGGATTGCTTACTATGTTCACTGGAATTCCAAATAAATGTGGGTGTTCTTATAGAAATGTATAAAAATCTAACAGGACTAGACAGGGTAAATCCAGGAAGGATGTTTCCGATGATCAGGGAATCCTGAAACAGGGGTCACAGCTTAAGGGTACAAGGTAGGTCATTTAAGACTGAGTTGAGGAGATATTTTTCTACTCAGATTGTTGAGCCTGTGATATTCTCTGCCAAAAAGTGTTTAAGGTGAAAAAAAATTGAATGTTTCCAGAAAGGACTTAGTTATAGTTACTGAGGCTAAAGGGATCAAAAGGTATAGGGAGAAAACAGGAACAGGGTACTGAATTGTATGATTTGTATGATTACAATGAAAATTTATACAAGTACAAGAAGAAGTTAGAGCCCTAAACTATTGTGTGTCTTTATTAACCTCTTAATTCATAAATGTGTTTTCTTAAAAGAAGATCGGTCAGTTATGGCTGCTGAAAGAAATTACATCTGAAAGAAACTTCAAACTGACTGGACTGTGATCTTTTGTGACTACAAAGACAGTGAGAGGCTGATGACCCATGCAGATTAGGTCTTGAACAACTGACTAGGTCTTGAACAACTGACACATTTTGTTTGTTTTCCCTTGGAGGAATATTGAAGAACAGGAGTTAAAAAGCCAATTTCAGCTCCACTGGAGTGATCTCAAGTCGTAGGACTTTCCCTTATTTAATTCCCTGTGTTGCAAGTTAAAGCTCTCTCTAGCTCAGAGTCCTGCAAGTTGGTCTAAAAAAAAATGAACCAGTAGAAAGGAATTTCCACCAGTCTATAAAATCCAGAATCTCAATAATCGTTTGATCAACTGCCAATGTCAACGCTACCAGTGCTACCCCATAATGGTCTCAACATCATCTTGTCTGCTCTTCATAAGTAGTTCAGAGCCTGACCCATATAACTTTTAACTTTTTGTACACGCCTCCAATTTCTAATTTGTGTATTTCATTAGTATTTCTGCTCGAGCTTAGTAGCTAATAGAGTGAGGTTATTTGTTAATTCAAGAAAGCCTGTTTAAATTGGCTTCTTTTAAAATACAAGTTCACTTGGATCTGGAAGGTGTCCACAAGTGAAAGCATCCTTTATAGATTAACTTTATTGCAACTGCCTGAAGTAATGGTTGAATAAAGAAAGAGAACCAGTTCATCCCTCTTCACCTGAAAACCTAACAGGATCAGGTATCCTGTCTGGAACTGTAATAAAGTGGGGAGCCTTGCACAGGCTCTGGTCTTAGCGATTATAAAATGTATAACATAGTCTTGCCAACAATGTTTTAGTGCAGCATAAAGATATAAATTGCCAGCGCTAGACAGAAGCTACATCTTGGTTCATGATCAACATCTTTTAACTCCTGGTGAACCTTGCAAATGCTGTGATGTGACATTTCACAGCTCGCTGTCAAGTCTTCAGTCTATCTCAGACCTCTGGACTAAAATGCCTTTGAGCACTTCTGCCCTGGGCTGCCCAACAAGTAGATCCAAAGGAACCAGGATAAAGGCCAGATGCTTTAGGTATGGACCTAACACTTGATCTGGAAATCCTATTTATGCAAAAAAAGGCACAAACCCTACTATCTGTGTCTGTGCCATTTTTCCTTACCTTTGCACAGAGAGTACCTTGTGGGTAACAGTCATGTATTCTATCCTCCTAATAACATTCAATGAACAGTGTTTGTCACAAAATTGAAGGACAAATTGTATTTATGATTTCCTAATTAGCCAGTTATTGTTGTGAATGAGTCATAAAAATTTAGTATCTAGAAAACATGGGTGCTTCTCCATTTGTACAAGAAGGGGAATTGAGAGGAGAGAATAAATCTAGTTGACACACTATTGGAACCTAGCTCAAAAGTGAAATTAATTAGAGACCTGAGAGCCAGTTTTTCATTTACCATTTAGTGCGAAGAAACCTAAAGTAGAAATAAAAATCAAAATGGGCTCAAGAGCCATACTTAGGAAACCTTTTAATAAATTTTTTGAATATTGCATTTTTATGTGGTAACTCTGTATGCATTCTGTGATGAAAAGCACAATAACCTCCTTGAGTGTAATGTTTGTACAAGTCTAAAGCCCTTCTTAGTTTTATCAGCATTCTAGAAGTACCATCATTTATCTGCCAAGGGACTGTTTAATAACTTAATCTGTGCCAAGGCACTGCTGTGTTTAAGCAAAGACTTCCAAAGACATTGTTCACTCTGTGCTGTAATGGAAATTGGAAGAAGGGGGAGGGGTGGTAGTAAGGTGAACTTCACAGGCTTGAAATAAGTCTCATGATTCTGCTTTGACTGCAGTACTTTCTTCTGGTTTTTCCACATTGAATTAAATGTTTTATATTTTGGGAAAGAAAGTCTTTGCTTCTGCACTTTTCCTTGTATGGTGAACTATGCAGGCTTTTTGTTTATTTAGGTCAAAATGACAAATGAAAGCTGGAGCTGAATAATTGATTTCTTATTTTGTTGCACATTGAAAAGAGCACAGCAAAAGGACAAGAGAGCATGACGGACCTTTGACACGTTTTGCCTTTAGTCCCTCTGGGAAAATACGGTTATTCCTGTGAATTGCCTTCCCTTTAAGAGCAGATACTAAAACCTTGTACTTTTTTTACAGCTGTGGGCTTTGTAATGATGAATACTGGTTTTTAAGTAATGAAAGTTAGGATTAAAAGAGATTCAGCGAGGAAGCTTTGAGTGCCAATTCAGCTTGTGGCTCTTTTCCACAGCGTTTAATATATTTATTTTATTGTTGTAAACTTTGAACTAATTTTTGCATCAACACTTTCTGCAACTCTCCCTCTCTTGGAGAAAGGGAGAGTTCTGGCAGGAAGGAAAGTAGTGATTCGCTATCC